CCCCCCCCCCCGCACCAACTGTTTGCCACCTGAGGCAGTGGCCTCACTCTGTCCGATGGGAGTGCCAATCCTGTAACCCAAGGCCACCCACTGAGCTTCACAGGGATTCAAACCTAGTCTCCACTCTGAGCCCAAACCAGCAAACTTATTGTTTGAACCTTATTGTTCTAATAACTCCATAACTGCTCATCGCTAAGCATTAATTCAGGCTGCATTGAGGGATGATGGTGTAAGGATCAATCAGCCAGTGTGAGGAAGGAACAGCAGGGTGAGGCTATCTGGAGACTGGTGTGGAAATGAAGTAGGCAACATTAGCCATTTCGTTGTCCTAACTTCTAACACCATTTCGTGCACCTGAAGGTTTGAAGGTCTTCACCTCAGACTCTTAGCTGAAATTCTGTTGCTCAACATAGTAAAATGCACTAAAGTAGGCCCATTGACTCAACAGTGACTTAGTGAGTCAACTATTCTATAGTTGTCTTAGAACTGCAGAGCGGGAAGGGACCCTACAGATCAGTGAGTTCAGCCCTTGTGAAGGAGGCACCGGGGGGGGGGTTGGATTCGAACTCCCAACCTCTGGCTCTGCAGCCAGATGCCTAAGCCACTGAGCTATCCAGACATCAGGCTTTGTTGTTTCAAATGGGCCTACTCTAGTTGCAACTTACAACCCTAAGCAACAGAATTTCAGTCTGTATATGTTAATAACCAAGTTTCTTTATCATTTTGTGTAACAGCATGACTGATTCCGGCTGTAGAATCATTAGGATTGTTCATTTATTTAAAATATTTGCATGCCGCCTTTCTCCTAGGAAGGATCCAAGGCAGCTGATAGTATTAAAAGAAACAATGTCAGAAGTTAGGACAACAAATTCTTACAATATTTTCAAAAGAATTAAACAACTATAATATTAAAACTAGTAGATAAGAATAGTAGTATAAACACATTTAAGATAACAATAAAAACACAGGAGTCTTGTGGTTTGGTTTGGTTTGGTTTTAAAATCTCTTAGGCAGCCAATCACTAAGAAAAGGCCTGTCTGAAGAGAGAGGTCTTTGCCTGCTTGCAGAAGAACAGCCAAGATGGGGCTGGGCTGGCCTCCGGTGGGGGGGAGTTCCATAGTCTCTGGGAGCAGCCACAGAGAAGGCCCCTCTCCCGAGTCCCCACCAAATGCACCTGTAAAGGTGGCGGGATGGAGAGAAAGGCCTCCCCTGATGATCTTAACCCCCAGGCAGGCTTATCAAGGGAGACCCGGTCTTTGAGAGAGATTGGGCCCAAGACATTTTGGGCTTTATTGATGAGAACCGGCACTTTGCATTGTGCCTGGAAACAGATCAGCCACCAGGGGAGCTTCTGTAACGAGATTGATGTGATCCCTAGTCAGCAATCTGGCTGCTGCGTTTTGGATCCACTGACGTTTTCCTGATCCTTTCCAGGGGGCAGCCCCATGTAGAGTGCATTGCAGTAATCCAGCTGGGATGTAACCCAGGTATGTGTTCTCCGTAGCCAGATCAGAACTGCAACTCCCAGAAACCCCAGCCAGTCCAGCTGATGGGAAAGGCTTCTGGGAGTTGCTGTCCAAGTACACCTGGGTTACCCAAGGTTGGGAATCAATGCCATATAATCATCATCGTTATCGTTGTCGTTGTCGTCATCATTATGTGCCATCAAAGCCAATTCTGACTTACTTTCAGGGTCTCCTAGATACAAAGTACTGTACTCAGAAGTGGTTTTCCATTCCCTTCCTTTTGGGGGCCTCCTGGGATTTTCCAACTTGCCCAAGGCTACATAGGCTGGCTTTGTTCCCAGGAGGCACAGTTGGGAATCGAACCCCCAACCTCTGGCTCCATAGCCAGACGCCTAAACCATTGAGCTACCCAGCCAGCTTCATAAAGTACATCTGTATAGAAACCTAGGGCAAAATGTTGTGCTACAAGAGTCTGAAGAAACAGATCCATGTAAGCTCACACAGAAATAAATCTGTTAGTCTTTGCTATGTTTGTTATGCACTGTCATGCCACTTCCGACTTATGGCAAGCTTATGAATGAGGGATCTCCAAAGCGTCTTGTCCTCAACAGCCCGGTTCAGCTTCTGCAGACTCAGTCAATTCTGTGGCTTCCTTTAGTTTTTAAGTTGCTGTAATAGTTCTGCTTTCCTTTCTGTTTGGTTTTAATCTACCCACCTCACTACATGTTTTGGCTGACCATGCCCTTATGCTTTGCAGTGATGGGCAGGTTTGGTGGGAGATCCAGACCAAAACATCTGGACAGCCAACAATTCCTCACCCAAGAATTTAGAAATGTTACTTGGAGGGGTTGACCCAAAGAACTGGGTAAAAGCTTTATTTTGGGACACCAATATGTCATTAATACAACTTGGGATGAGAGGGAACAAGAAGCTTGCAAAAACTCATCCCTGCTGGAGATCACAGCCAGGGAAGCTGTCATTCGTTCAGTCCCAAAATGGAGTCTGCAGGTTTGGGCTGTCAGTGTGAGGTGTGCTGATATCTACAGTGGTGCCTTGCTAGACGATGATAATCCGTTCCACTGAAATCGCAGTTTAGCGAAATCATTGTCTAGCAAAAAACATTTCCCCATTGGAATGCATTGAAACCTGTTTAATGCGTTCCAATGGGGAAGAATCATCGTTGTCTAGCGAAGATCGGCCATAGGAAAGCCGCTTTGCGAACCGCCAATCAGCTGTTTAAATAGCTGCCTTGCAAAGCTTAGGTCCCGAAAACACCCGTTTTGCGAGCGCAGAGGGAACTGTCAAAATCGTCGTCTAGCGAAAATCAGTTTGCAAAGCAGGGACCAAACATTGTCCAGTGAAATTCCCCCATAGGAATCACTGTTTTGCAAAACGCTACAGTGATTGCAAAAAGTCAATGTCTAGCGAAAAAACTGTCATGCGAGGTAACTGTCTAGCGAGGCGCCACTGTAGTTGGGATGCGGCATCTCTCTCCTGCCCATCGTCTTCTCTATGGGTAACCACTTGATGAACCATTCCCTACTGGCTTGGGGATTCTGGGTGTTGTACTTACCAAGAAGGTAACTTTTACAAGCCCTGTGATGTCAATCGTAAAAGTGTCCTGGCAATGACCTCCCAGTATCTGAACTGCTTTTATTTTATTAAACTGGATGGTCTGGATGAAAGTCAACGAACCTATCTTGCAGGGTTCTTCTGAGGAGAAGAACTGTCTACACAACCGTGAGCTAGAAAAAAGAGTAGGATGGGGTTGAGGGAGGAGAAACAACAGTGCTGAAATTTGAAGTGAGGGAACAGAAAACCTTGACAGAATACACACAAACTGTCCCAGATTTTAACCAAATCGTGCTGCCCCCACAACTCTCGAAGTGGCCATCACAAAACACGGTGAATTGGGCTCCTTCTGAGCTTTCTCTGTAATGTAAGTAGTGGGCAGCAATTTACCAAAATATTTGTATTTTGTTTCATTGTCCCTTCTCACCAGAAGTAAGTGCTCTTGTACTCATGTTCTGCACTTCTGGTTCCCATTTGACATCTGGCTGGCCATTATGAGACCAGCATGCTGGGTTAGATCTGCTTCGGTTCCTCTTTCAGCTCTTAACTCGGGAGGAAATGTTCCAAAACCACTCCACCCTGCCACCCCTCCCTTTTCTCAGTCGGATGAGTCACTTTTCAAACAAGGACATCAAACGTCAAAGGTAAGTTTGGTTTCCTGGCTCCCAGCTGTAGGCACAATAGACTGCTTCTCTGAGTCCTCTTCCCTAAAACTTCCTTGTTAGAATTATTCCAAGTATAGGCCAGAACCCGAGAGGGAAAGTCATGCCTTTCAGGACAGACAACATCCTAAGGCTGTATCTGGTAGAATCTGTTTTCTAAAAAAGAAAAACCTTAGAACCATAGAATCATGGAGTTGGAAGGGGCCTAAAAGGCCATCAAGTCCAACCCCCTGCTCAATGAGGGAATCCAAATCCAAGCAGATCTTTGTCCAATTTTCTCTTGAATGCCTCCAGTGTTGGAACTCCCAGGATCATTGGTTCCGTTGTCGTACTGCTCTAACAGTTAAGAAGATTTTCCTGATATTCAGGAAAACCTTTGCAAAGTAACTTTTCTCAGACACTTTCCTGTGCTGTGTTCAGCATACAGAGATACTTGTGGACAGAAGACTCAAGGTGAGTACAGTACACACAAGATTAGATTTTTGAGGTGAGGCAACTGAAAATCCACTTAATAGAATAAATAGAAGGGATCCATAATCCAGCACAGCCAATTTATCCAGGTTTTTTAAATGCCCATTATCATCTAAAAAGCCCTCTGCCCATCAAAACATCAGCCATGATCCTGTTGGATACTCACACTGGATGACTCCCCTCCTGGTACTGTGCCTGCTACCATCCTCTCCCTCTCTTCCATCTGAGTCCTCCTGACCATCAAATGGCCAGGAGGAACCTTAGAATCATGGGATCAGGAAGAGCTCCCAACCCTTCAAAGCAGATATTGAGGGTGTCAGGAAGTTGCATGGGGAAGGATGGAAGATGGCTACTAAAATAGCAAAGTGGATTCTATCTATTAAATCAGGAGTTGGGGGGGGGACCTAACACACCACCAGATGGAAAGCCTAGCCTTCTACTGCTCCACATCACCTTGGCCAAGGACTAAAAGACCAGGAAGGTGAGGCATCCCAAAGAGAGTATGTGTAGAGGCATATCTGCCTTTTAATCTCTGGCAGATAAGAATGGTTCCAGGAAGTCCTGAAAGGAGCCCAACTTTGTCAAGCTCGTCCACCAAGCATCCTGCACCCAAATCTCTGCCCATGATCATCCATCTTCTCTGCTCCCTACACTTTTAAAATTCAATCTCCACTCCCACCTTTTCATACTCAGGGCACATGGTGGTAGAGAACCCTTGTCAGTATATTATCAGAATTTGGCAAAGTTGCTCTTACTGGTTGGGGCGTTCTGGGAGTGTCGTTTTTAAAAGTAAGTTATTTATGCACTGGCTGTTGCCTACAAGATCTCTTCCGACCCATACAGGATCTCAAGCACTTCCTGATTTGTGGGATGCTCTCCTTAGATGCAGGAACATTGGGCAGAAGTCCAAAGCCCTTTAGCCTGGAAGGACTCTAGATACTATGACTGGTTTCAAACCCTTCAAAAGGGATTGGGCATGTTGCAGATGGAAGTTCTTCCACTCAGTTCTTGCTTCTCCATTTCTCCAGAGAACCAGTAGATGACAACTATCCCTTCTTCCTTATCTCTCCTACTAGAGCCTAGATGCTACCATGACCATCTGGACCTTGGATACAGCAGCTCTAAAAAGCGATGCTGAGTGTGATCAGAACCAGGCACAATCTGTACGTTTTGTTTCTCATTAAGTGGCTGAAGTGTTCTGGCTTTCTGCATTTTATGTGTTTAATGATTTCTTGGTCGTGCGTTTGATTCAGTATTCCTTTGCTGTTCACCTTTTTTGATCATGCTCTCTGGTGAAATCAAGATGTTGGGTGTGGGTGCAAAGTTTGCCATGGGCATGCCTGGATTCACATGAAGAAAAAGAAAAGAAAATGTACTCCTACTTGATGGGGTTGTGGAAGGAAGGAAGGAAGGAAGGAAGGAAGGAAGGAAGGAAG